AGGGTGGTGTGCGACTGTACATTACAGTGGCAGATCGCATTGGAATGGCTGCATGAATGTTGCACGGGCTTTGTGTTGGGGAGGAAGCCGGAGCACGAAACCTTGCGTTTTTCCGTGTAAAGTGGCTGCAGCCGGCGATGAAAGGTACCTCGTCTGTGCGGCGGTTGCGGCTGCGGTCGTTTCTGTCGCGAATTGTTCCTCCTACGTGTTTTGCAGCGAGTGGTTGTTCCTGTGTGCTTAGTTCTATGCGTTTCTTGAAGCTATGGTAGCAGATCGCATTGGAATGGCTGCATGATGTTGCATGGGCTTTGTGTTGGGGAGGAAGCCGGAGTACGAAACCTTGTGTTTTTCCGGGTAAAGTGGCTGCAGCCGGCGATGAAAGGTACCTCGTCTGTGCGGCGGTTGCGGCTGCGGTCGTTTCTGTCGCGAATTGTTCCTCCTGTGTGTTTTGCAACGAGTGGTTGTTCCTGTGTGCGTAGTTCTTTGCGTTTCTTGAAGCTGTGGTGGCAGATCGCATTGGAATGGCTGCATGATGTTGCATGGGCTTTGTGTTGGGGAGGAAGCCGGAGCACGAAACCTTGTGTTTTTCCGTGTAAAGTGGCTGCAGCCGGCGATGAAAGGTACCTCGTCTGTGCGGCGGTTGCGGCTGCGGTCGTTTCTGTCGCGAATTGTTCCTCCCATGTGTTTTGCAACGAGTGGTTGTTCCTGTGTGCGTAGTTCTATGCGGTTCTTGAATCTCTGGTTGCAGATTGCATTGGAATCGCTGCTTCATTGTCGTCATTTGATGTTGCCACGTGCGTAGATAGGTGCGGGTTTGCCACGGGATGTTGCGAAACGCATTGTAATGGCTGCATGAATGTTGCATGGGCTATGTTTTGGGGAGGAAGCCGGAGCACCAAACCTTGTGTTTTTCCGTGTAAAGTGGCAGCAGCCGACGATGAAAGGTACCTCGTCTGTGCGACGGGTGCGGCTGCGGTCGTTTTGTGCGCGAATTGTTCCTCCTATGTGTTTTGCAACGAGTGGTTGTGTCTGCGTGCGTAGTTCCATGCGGTTCTTGAATCTCTAGTTGCAGATTGCACTGGAATGGCTGCATGAATGTTGCATGGGTTATGTTTTGGGGAGGAAGCCGGAGCACGAAACCTTGTGTTTTTCCGTGTAAAGTGGCTGCAGCCGGCGAAGAAAGGTACCTCGTCTGTGCGGCGGGTGCGGCTGGGGTCGTTTCATGCGCGAATTGTTCCTCCTATGTGTTTTGCAACGAGTGGTTGTTCCTGTGTGCGTAGTTCTATGCGGTTTTGGAATCTCTGGTTGCATGATCGCATTGGAATGGCTGCATGAATGTTGCATGGGTTATGTTTTGGGGAAGAAGCCGGAGCACGAAACCTTGTGTTTTTCCGTGTAAAGTGGCTGCAGCCGGCGATGAAAGGTACCTCGTCTGTGCGGCGGGTGCGGCTGGGGTCGTTTCTGTCGCGAATTGTTCCTCCTATGTGTTTTGCAACGAGTGGTTGTTCCTGTGTGCATAGTTCTATGCGGTTCTTGGAGCTGTGGTTGCAGATCGCATTGGAATGGCTGCATGATTGTTGTCATTTGGTGTTGCCACGTGCGTAGATAGGTGTAGGTTTGCCACGGGATGCTGCGAAACGCATTGTAGTGGCTGCGTCAAGGTTGCTTGGTGCAGCGGCTGCATGCGTAATACTATTGTCTTTTGCAGCTGAAGATCGTAAATCGTATTGGAATGGCTGCATCAAGGCTGCGAAAGTGATTTGTCAGCAGATTTTCTCAATTTTGGCGCTAATAAGTTTCCTTTTAAAATTCCTTTTAAAAAGTGCTTCAAAATCGTCTTTTTGTCGCTTTGGCGTCGAGATCCGGTTTTGGAGCTGCAATTTCCAACGCCATTGCACGTAGTTCTATTGTGTTTTGCAACTCAATCTCTGCAGATCGCATTGTAGTGGCTGCGTCAAGGTTGCTTGGTGCAGCGGCTGCATGCGTAATACTATAGTCTTTTGCAGCTGAAGATCGTAAATCGTATTCGAATGGCTGCATCAAGGCTGCGAAAGTGATTTGTCAGCAGATTTTCTCAATTTTGGCGCTAATAATTTTCCTTTTAAAATTCCTTTTAAAAAGTGCTTCAAGATCGTCTTTTTGTCGCTTTGGCGTCGAGATCCAGTTCCTTAGTAGTAGTACTGGGAAGTGATTCATGAAAGCGTAGATGACATATGAGAAGAGATGAGATCAGAAGAGATGAGCTGGGATAAGGTGAGAAGAGCTCAGATGAGATGAAGTGTGGAGTGTGAAGGGTGCAGTGTGAAGTGTGGGGCGTGAAGAGTGCAGTGTGAAGTGTGGAGTGTGAAGTGTGAAGTGTGGACTGTGAAGTGTGGAGTGTGAACTGTGAAGTGTGGACTGTGAAGTGTGAAGTGTGGACTGTGAAGTGTGAAGTGTGGACTGTGAAGTGTGAAGTGTGGAGTGTGCAGTGGGAAGCGTGCAGTGTGAAGTGTGGAGTGTGAAGTGTGGAGTGTGAAGTGTGAAGTGTGGAGTGTGCAGTGCGCAGAGTGCAGTGTGAAGAGTGCAGTGTGTAGTGTGGAGTGTGAAGACTGTCAAGTGTGAAGTGTGACGTGGAGCTTCAAATGTGACATGTGAAACAAGACACCAGTTTCGCAGAGTGCACGCACGCACGGGCTTCGCTGGCGCACGGCGCATGCAAGTTCTATAGATGAGAAAGGTCTTATATATATCTTTAAGGCAACTTCCGCCCCGCCTCGTGCGGGTACTACTGGTATCCAGCTTGAAGCTGTCGCATCAAAATAGCCAAGTTCAGGAATCCAACCAATTGTCAAACAATGTTAGACAAATGAACAGTTTTTCCATCCATTTCCATCAGCTGTGTGGCTTCCCAGCACAGGTGAAAGAGCCAGAGCCGCCCGAGGAGGTTCAGCTCCTGAAAAAAACATGTTGAGGCACTCGTCAAACATCGTCAAACTGCATGGACAGGACCCCTGCATATTTGCGTGGATGAAAGACATTGAAAGATATAAAGAGGTCGTCTTCTGGCAACCGCTCTGAGAAATGAATACATAGTGATCATAGCGGCTGCATTAGTGCAAGTTTGCGAAACAGTGGCTCGTTTACAGCTGAGGCGAATTCAGATTCTGTACCCCGCGAGTCTGAGAGGCAACCTGCACTGCTTTCCAACTGCTTCCAGTTTAGGCCAGTTTGGTGATGTTTAGGCTATTAGTAGGCTAGGGTGACATTTCATTCTGACCCATTACCTTCGGGATCCTTCGGGTGCTTAGCTTGAAAGTGTATGCTTCCATGGCCATCCCACCAGCCTCTCTTTTTTGCAGCCTGCGTTTTGGATCAATGGTCACATCAATTTCAGACTCCAAAACCGTATGTTTGTCCCGTTGTAACAAAGTTCAACTGGAAGAACTGGATAGGAGGGAACCGAAATCAGATCTCCATCCCCTGGAGTGCTCCTGAGGGCGCTGCCGTCGCGCTCTGCCAAAGGAAGCGGACGCGGGTGATGTCCTCAGAAAATCAGCAGAACGCCAAGCCGCGAAATCGTCGTGACACTAAATTCACTAAATGCTGAAAAGTCGAGCAATAAATGCAATAAATGTATATAATAAATGTAATAAATGTAAATGTAATAATCATCATTATTAGTGTCTAATACTATGTAGACCATGCACGTTTTGACATCTTCTGACAATTTGCTACTGTATCAACTCCATACATTGTTGCATTGTTCAATATTCAACGGTGAAGGGTCGCATGTTTTGTAGGCCAAGTCGGGCAGCTGTTCCTGGAGCCAGGACAAATCTAGGGTCAGAACTGGGTGCCACACCCACGACCTTCGCCTCCTGTGAAATGAAGTACCTTTGGCTACGCATATCAATTGTGTGATGGATCCGTTCCTGTTTCATCATATTCAGTAGTTATGTCAGCTAAGGCCAAGAAGGCTAGATTTTTCTGACTCATTCGGCTTTAGAGTAGGTCCACATACAAAGCCAAAGACGCTTTGCATGTCCAGAAATGGATTAGTCATCAAAGGAGTTGAAAACAGGTGATTTCTCCAAAATCAACGAAAGGTCCACTTCAGATTCTTGCAGTAAATCTCTGGAAGGACTGCTGCGAGGGTCTTGAGCTCAGAAGGTCCAGCTGGGACCTGGAGATTCAGTGTTCCTTGTCATCTCATGTGTATTATATGTGTCTTATTGACGTGTCATGATTTGTCTACATATTGTCTTTGTTCCTATTTGTCCTTTGATTCTTTCCTGAAAATGTGTCTTCAAAAATCCCTCATGTACCCGGTGTCAATGCTTCTCGAACAGATGAGGCAAACCGTTGAACCTGCAGCGTAGGACGTAGGAAAATGAACGACAGCAGATCTGCAGCCAAAGTGCCAAGGCCAGAGCAAGTAGCATATTAGAGATCAACATAGATCAATATAGATCAGCACTCCTTGATCCAAAAATCTCAATTGTTTCTCAAATTTGTTGCATCTCCGCACAAATTTCTGGAGCAAAGTTTCCACACCTTTGGTCATGGCCTTGGCAGTTTCAGCTGCTTGGTAGAGCTAATGCCTTCTAGCGATTCCTGGAGCTGAGCCAGAAAAGTCGTCCGTTCTTCGCAGAAGATACATAGGCTTAGATAGGTCTGTTTTCCAGATTATTCATTTCTTGATATATGAATATTAATGAATATTATATGAATTGTGAGTTCAATAGAGTTTCATTACACTGCAAAATTTGGAAGTGACGAGCGTGGAAGCTATGTGCATTGCCGGCCAGACTCAAATTTAGTGCATACAAGATCATAGATAACGAGAGGGAGGCACAGGGACTTCAGCATACTATGTTTCCGAGCCAGATCTACGTGCCCTGATGACTTTTGAATGCAAAGTACAATTTTAGCGTCATTTGTTTTTATCTTTGGACCTTCAGGTAACAAGAAAAATCATTCCACAGCGTTGCATTTGGAAACACGTACAGCTGAATAGCCAGGCGTGTCCGCGCGGACAGTTGAGACGCCATGGTACTGTTTTCAAGTGATGATGAGCTTTCAGGTGAAAGGACAGACCCCACGGTGCCAAGGGGGGATCGCGCAACATTCTGATTACTTCTGTCGCTTCTCATGCCTGTATATTATTGGACGAAATTGCTATTTACGAACTCAGTATGAGCCATTCAGTTTCTCAACCATACTTCTTCTCGTTTTTCCTTGTCAGACTGGGGACAGATGGGACAGAATGCACAGCATTTCTGTGTAACATAATGCTCTTGCTATGCCTCTGTAAGATCCTCACCATGCTGGCAGCATCCAAGCTCTCATTGGTACACTTTCCTGTGAAATCCAGAAGCATCCAGAAGCATCCAGAAGCATTTCATGCCATGCAGGAAGCGCACAAAACGAAGAGCCAACACCATCAGCCTGAAAAATATGGCAATCAGAGGAGACCGGCCTGATAAATCCGTTCAGAAAATCTGTGAGTTCCTGCCCTTGTCATCCCATGTTATCCCTTGTTGTCCAGGATTACTATCAATCAATATTGCTGAAGAACTGCTGGAAAAACGGTCTCACAAATGCCCGAGTACCGCAGTACCTTCCTGCCTTGTACAAGTCGGCTCGCAGGATCTGATGAAGATGAGGCACCTGGTTTTGCAAGGCGTGTGGTCTCGTTTTTTGTCGGAATGGGTTGACGGTGGTTGAAGTGGGTAAAGCAGACAGGGCACAGTGCAGATGATCCTTCTGCATCCTTCTGCAATTTTTCCAGATCCCTCCACAAATCTGATGTTTCCAATGCAGCTCGCAGGCCAACGCTCGCTTTGTCCACTAAAAGCAAGAAGGGCGCAAAGCGATTTGATGACATCTTGTCGGAGTTGTCAGAGACTTTCACGGCATTTATAGTCACGGTCACCCAGGAACTAGCCAAAGTAATTAAAGTAGTAAGCAGGAGGGTATTTTAGGGGTTCATACAAGGTCCCATTCTGAGCCCCGAGCTGCTTACTGCCCTGGTCAAACCACAGGGAGGGTTCCTGCTTACTGCGTGGCCCCTACTTTTTGTGGGGAAGAGGCTCGGTACAAGGCAGATTTTTTTCCCCCGCATCATCTTGAGATTAACTCTACTGTACCTCTGCTGTTGGTCTTGTCCAAAAATAGGGTGCCCCACCTCAAAATTTGCTGCTGAATGATCATTTTCCCTGTAAAAATTGCCATGTTGGGACACATATACCCCTATTTTCAGACACACCCACAATTTCCATAGATATATTCACCTCGCGTTCGCCATGCCATTTACTGGATCCGTACCTGCCAAAACGACAACAATACCTGGGCAATTTCCGCCCATCGTTGGGCACTCACTAGATTAGGCGCCACTTCCGACTTGTTTGCATCAGCAAGTTTCAGAGTTTGAGCCTGGAAGAAGCGAGCATAAACACTTCGGGACAACGGAGCTGTAGTAAGCAGATTCTGAAATTGTCTTTGGTGCATATGTTCATATATCTGCTTACTACAGGTGTTTATACTTAGGCCTTACTTAGGTCATTTCTTATTTGCCTGATTTTGGCCTCCGGCAGATGTAGTAAGCAGATCAGTCTCTACTTCCAAGGTGTCCCCGACTATAATATACTATAATATTTGATCTTGGTACCATCTAGTTTTGCGGGTTTACCATTGGTTTACCATTTGCAAGTGTCGACATTGCTTCGCATTACCGGTGTTTGCGTCGCGTTCTCCCGGATGTTGAAAGCACGTGAGGAAATCTGGGAAAGCCCAAGTCATCTTTAAATGGTTGGTGTAGCCTGTCTAATTTGACTCTGCATGACTCTGCTTTGTCCAATGTTGAGACTAGGCATGCTTTCAGAAAATCACGCAATAGACATGAAATCCCGACACGTTTCCACCAACCAGATACGCTGCAATCCCATGCAATCCCATCAGAGTTTGTCTTTGGATAAACTAATATTCTTCAGGTTTCCAGAGTCCAGCCCCTGGTGCAGCCAGGATTTGTCTAGCGATGAACAGCCTCTTAGTGTGTGGCAAAGGTCCAGAACCTTTGGCCCTGCACCTTGGCTTGATAAAGCGTCCATGACCGTCAAAAGGTGGGGTTGGAAGATAGTTGGGTCTGTTTGGCAGCTTGATGAGAAAAGTTTGCCGCCAAGAAGTTCCTGTTGGCCTGTTTTCATTCTAAACTGTTTGCGAAATCGAGACGCAAAATAATTAAGCACGATTCATCAAGGGAGCACGCAGTTGCAGCGCAACTCAGATTCCAACTCCAACCTTGGAAGTGGAAAGCCATGGTGGGCATGGGTCACTTGGCAAGAGTCAAAGTGCTTGAGACTGAATGAAAGCGACAGTGGAATTGCCTTGCCATGCCTTGCCAATATTTGCCATGGTACAGATGCCATGTGGCTGACATGAGCATCACTTGTGGCATGGTGTGTTGGCTCTGCTCCTGGCACCTTTGTCAGTAATTGCGTCCTGTCTGCCGAGGGTGCTTGACAAAGCTGGAATGGATGAGCTCAGGGCAATGTACCTTGGAGTCAGCTCGTCAAGTTTGGTTTGCATGACATTGACAATGCCCAAAGACTTGCATGCGCATCCTTGTACTCTTTGACGGTGTATATACTGACGTTGACATAGATTTGTGAAGGGAGACTTGTTGGTGCTGGGAGTGGCCGCAGTGTGGTTGGCATTGCTGAAGTGCATTTAAGTATATTGAAGTGCATTACTAGTGCATTGAAGTGCCACCCAGGAAGTCCTCGATCAGCGAAGTCCCTCTCTTCCAGAATTGCAGTCCAAAATTTGTGGAAGCCATCGCAGAGCAGGCCAATCCGAGTACCACTTTCAAACTCCCAGCGTGCACTGCAGAGAAATGCAGAGAAGAAATATTATGAAGGAATCAATGTCACAATTCACAATGCGTATTCTTGTGCTTCATATAATTTGTGTTGTATTATTTATTTATTGTTAATTGTAGTTGTGTATATTTCTATACGTATATTTCTTTAAATGTTTGCCGCCTGAGCTTTTGTTCGGAAGTCAGCCTGCAGGTGAGTCACAGACTTTTCACTCCAGGTGGGCTCAGAACTTGGAAGGAACTAACAAAAACAAGACTTGTTGAGTTGGAAACTGTCGAGGCTCAAACTCATGGCTTATCAGTAGCTGGTTTAGTCTCACCTAGCAGGTGCACAGCACGAGCTCAGATGGAGCTTTGCCCAGCCTCTCAGGCGTCGATATCATGACGGAGGGTGAATACGGAGATAGAACCTCAGCTGCACATGCGCCGTACAGCTGCACCAGGTAGCACAGTATCGCGCATCGTGTCACCAAATTCAAGTGAAACCCGGAAGGCCTCATGTTCTGTCAAATCTGTCAATGTAAGGTATGTACATCCTGCATCGTGGAGACGTCGAAGTGATCATCGGTGGAACAACTGTTTGCACCCTGTCAGACGGTGCAGTCTTTGGAGAAATAGCAGTGCCTTTGGCAGAAGTTGAAGCAACTGGTCGACAATTTGCAAAGGACAGGTTCTGCTTTAGGGTTGTGAAGAAATCGACACGATGTTCCGGAATGGAAAGTATTCCTCTCTGAGGCCCTGTGCAAGAATCCGTTGCTCGCACGTCGGACGGCCACTATCCGCGCGCTCACACTTTGTGACTGTCGAGTCACCTATAGAGACAGCTTGCTGAAGGTGGAAATGCTGGAGAAGTTGACATGCTGTCTTGTCGAAGAAGTGAATTATTTCTTGTAGCCTTACAAGTTCACAAGAATCGTGAACAGCACATAGCAGAATCGTTCTGGGCCGTATAGCGGTTCTACATCTACATATACATATACATACACATACATACACATACATACACATACATACACATACATACACATACATACACATACATACACATACATATACATACATACATACATACATACATACGTACGTACGTACGTACGTACATACATACATACATACATACGTTCATTCATTCGTTCATTCATTCCATACCATACCATACCATACCATTGCATTACATTACATTACATTAGATTAGATTACAATACATACATGCATATTCATATTATACATGGATATAGTGTGTTGTTCGTTGTATGTCAACCCTTATCAGGCTGTGGCTTGACCATCTCCCCTGCCAGGTCATGTCTCGCTTCAAGGCTCGAGAAGCTTGTGGGACAGTGAAGCAATTCTTGTGCAATGTTCAGAGGTGTCCCAAAGTTGAGAGGAAGATGGTGGAAGCATTTTCATGGATCCTCAATACATCTTCATAATTTACATGCCTAGACTATCCTAGACTGGTAGTCATGTTTGTAGAGTGAACATGTATCTCAACGATTCTGCAGTGTATGCCACATCGTTTACTGTTCACTTTTGATCCTTGGTACCCTTGGTACATGGCAGTCTCTGAGGCTGCACTGACTCATCTTAATGCCATCCCGAATCCGCTTGTTCGAATGCAATCATTGATTCAACGATTCAATGGATCAAAAAGGATCAAAAAGGCAGTTCCCAGATCCGTTTCCAGAGCCCAGACACCAACAGCCGAAATCAGATTCTTTCGAGGGTGATGAGGAGATCGTGGCCAGAAAGCTAGAGACCCGCATCGTTGAGCTTCGAAAGATGGGAAAGTTGCCCAATCAGAACCTGGGTGAAGTAACGGCAGCCATTGGTCCGGCAGGGTGATGTTTTTGTGTCTTGTGTTTCTCAGAAGTTGCTTGGCTGTATGGAACTGTTACAAGTTGATGGTTGGGAGGGCTCTGCTGTCGGGTTTCAGTTCCTTTCAGTGTCCAAAGAGTTTTGCCAAGTGGCTCCGAGGAAAGAATGGCGGCGCGCCCCTGTGAAGCAGCAGGTGGGCCAACCATGGCCAACCTGGATAGGTCATCAAGTCATCTAAAATTCTTGGGATATACAATTGTTTGATAATCGAATGTATCCCAACAGCCATTGGTCGTATACCCATGTGTCTGTTTGCAATGTATCCAAACTATATTTCAGCTTCGATATTTCGCGGTGCACTTGACTTGTTCCAACAGCTTCACAGACGTCCTAAATTTTGAGGGGGCTCCCTGCCACCTTGAACTTCTTTTCACGATTCATTTGCACCATTCAAATGTGCGAAGTCAAAAAAATATCTTAAGGCCTGTTACTGTAGACACCCGCGATATAAGTCATGTGTTTTTGTGTAAAAAGAGCAAGAGGCTGGTTCTTTGGAAAATAGGCGCTTCTTGAAGGACACAAAGAGGTCTGAGTTTAAATTAAATCATAATATCATGATCATTTCGACTCCCCCCAACCCCCCGCACCCTAAGGTGTGGATTCATTCGGTTTGCATTCTCGAACAGCCTTTGAGGCGGCAGCAGTTTCCTCTCAAGATAGCATGTGCCTTAGATGTGCGTTATGGACAGAGGTTGGGCAGTTAGGCCAAAATAAAGTGGCGTCAAGCAGCTACGCCATTGAGCCGGTCTTTATGGTGAGACATGTCAACCCAGATGGAACAATATGAGGAACAATATTAAGATTAAGATGCACCTTTGCTTTGTGGGCAATGGACATCAGGGAAACTTGATGCACAACTCCGGATCGGAACAGAAATCCTTAACATTGTTGGCGATGCCGGTTCCGATTTGATTTTCGCCAACGGGACTAAACGGGACTTGTCACATTGGAGCGTGTACCTGAGGGGGCCTAGTCAGGGGGCCAAGGGCACACCCGAGGAAAGTGGTTGGTTTGCGCTTGACATTCCAGTTGAATACAAACCGCCCAAGTTGCGGACAGCAGAGAGGTGTAGCCATGCAGAGCTCGTTGCAGAGGCACTACTGTGGACTCGGATGGCTCGGATGTATGCCTTGCCGCCACCAAGCTTTCGGGACCTAGGCATTGGCATCACGTCTTCGCTGTGATCCAGATATAAAGCAGCGCAAAAAGGGGCTAAGCCTGGAATGTCCAGATATGTCCCAGCAATGCTCCTGGCAGCTCCAGACTTTAGAGATGGTCACATATGGTCACAAGAACCAAGGCGTGCAAAGCTGCATATGATCGTCACTTCCTGGCGTTTCTATCCACGGTTGAGGTGTATGTTCAGTCGCTTTCAGTTTTCTCACTGCATAGACTATAGCATATTATAGCCACACACACACACACACACTTTGATTGTTGATATTATTTGGATTTCTTTGAGGTAAGATGGAATTTACCGAATAAACTGCTAAGCTTCAATCTTTCTGCAGTGCTGCAGGGGATCCACAAGCCACCAGGATCAGTTTCTCTTGCGACAGAACCCGGGTGGTGGTTCCTTCTTTTTTTTTCGTCAACCAGATAAATGGGATGATTGGACCATATTGGACCCCAAGTCAGCAGCGTTTTCCAATGATTTCCAGCTCTGCCTTGGGATGATGGCTGTCTCCATGCCTGCCCTGAAGGGTGGCCCACGGCCAAAGCCACGAACCCGACCAACGCTCCCATCCCTCGGCCACTTGGGCCACTTGGACTATTGGGACAGCCAAACACGACCCGAGTCCAAAAGATGCAAAAAAAAAGTGCCACCATCCGTGAATTTAACTGAAGCATATTGAATCTATTTGATCTATTCTCTACTGGAATCCTTGGGACAGTTTGGGACAACAGTTTCTACACTTCTACACATTTCGACCAATGATCAGGTGACGCAGGGGATAAGGAGAGTGCTCGAGCAGATGTCACACCTGCTTTGTGCCTGGTATGCATTGGAGCTGCCCCATGGGCACAAGTTTGCCTTCAAGATAAAGTCGTTCTGTTCGGCTGGATTTGGCACCCTCGTTCCAACATCTTCCAAGCACTTTGCAACACTAGTCCGGATGGTGATTTCCTCACTTTATTCACTTTGTTCTAATCGTTTATATAGTTTCCTATTGCTGCATGTTCATGAAACATGATGAAACATCATTACTTACACACTTAGACAACATGAAAAACTATGAAAAACTTGTGTTTTCCCAAAGGGTTTGAACCGGGGCTTCAAGTGAGGAAATCCAACACGATGTATGGCCCAGGCACATCATCGTTGACAATGAAGACCAGCGCCTTGGAAACAAACAGCCACTGGTGCTAAAGGGATCCCAATGGCTACAGATTTGGACGGAAATAGGCATTCTTCGATTCTTCGGATAGCCTGGAGGAATCCTTGAGATAGTGTACGTATGTGTACGTAGTTTCATATGTTGTGTTTGTTTTCAGCCTTGCAAACGTTGTAAGTACCGTTGACATGATTTGCATGATCGCTGCATCGTTTGAGTGCTGGATTGTTTGCCTTGACACTTGCTGAAACAAGGTTTATAATTAAAAAAGTACACTACCACTAGCATCACTGGCTACACATCTAGTTTCTTTAGCAATATCTGTAAACTTCACTCCACAAAGACCTGCTTGGGAGGGGGAACAGGGCCACAGGCCACAACCATGGACGCACCAACTGCTGCCCACATCTTCTTCTGCTTCCACGCCCCACATAAGTTCACACCCGAGCATGGGGCAATTGCTGCCTCCAACACTATTACTTTATCTTGCTCGATCTTGCTCGGTTTGCCAAGGCGTACTGCAAGTAACACGCCTGATGAGTCGAGGGGCAGAGGCAGGACAGCAAAGAATTTCTATGTCTTGTCGAGTTTTGGCCCGTCCATGGACAAAAAATCCTTTTCAACTCAGCTCCACTCAATAGAGAAACCCCTGGTCTCATGGCGGTCTTTTTAAGAAATCTACATGCTACTATACCTGGATCTACATGGAAGGTATTGCAAGATGGTCTACACAAAAATTGCGTTCAAAATGAGAAGATCCTGAGCCATGCCCCAAGCTGAACCTTTGCCAGGGGAAAAATTGCCCGTTTGGGCACTGGAGATGGCTTGTCGCAGGAGCAATGGGTCGTGGAATGCCGTGGAGTCATCGAGTAATTAGGATTAAAACATGGTGTCCTTTGATATACTTGTTGTAACAAAGGTGGTCCATTTTCCTAGTTGGTGCTTGATTGAGCACGCATGGTGATCCTGCTCGGCAAGACTTCTTTTCAGCTAGGCATGGGTAGCTTGATTTAACTTGGCCGCAGATTTGCCAGCTTCACGAGTTAACTGGTCCCAGCTGGAAAGTGGAAAAGCATGGAAAAGCCAGGGTTACAGTGTAATTTCACCGATATATTGGTTGCGAAATCCTTCGATGACCGTGAGCGACAAGAAACTATATGAAATATTATAAAATATTATAAAGTATGATGATGTATGATGACGTATGTGCGAAATTGAAGCATGGCATGGAGTGGACATGTAACAAACATTATATAACAAACAATGTTAACTTTATCGTTTATTTTGCACAAGCATTCTGCAGCTGAACAATTCGTTGGACAGACTGGACCAGAAACTTTTGAACACTTACTTGCGGCAAGGACGGATGGACTAGGCACGGCAGCCAAGCAAGTCTCTGTGTGTGTGTGTGTTGTCAGACCTGTTCCGAAGGGGACCGGTAAAGGGCCCGAGTGCGGGGTAGGAATTCCATTCACCATCATTCACCCTTTGTTCCTTTCAAGTGCCTCGTAATGCTCAACAAATGCTAGATCTGTAAAACTGGTGCTAAAAGCCATGCCACCACCTCTTCTCTTCCGAATGTCAAGGTCCAAGGCAAAAAAGGTCCTCCCCAAATATCTCCCCAAATGAAAATCACTGCCAAGGAGTAGCGTTTGACCGCTCCAAGATGGAAGCAGTGGAGGACGGTGGGCACTGGGAGGTCACCCAGGTACTTGATGATCTTGATGTAAGACTCGTAAGACATGTTGCCGTATGGGGTTGCCCTGAGTTTGTCTTCCGCACTAGCTGTGAGGAGCATGGCCACCGCCGACAGTCAGTACCAGGCTGGATGAGAACTGAAAGTGTGCGATGAGATAGGAAGAACTATGGGATGTTTCATGATGTTTCATGATGGTAGCTGGGACCTATCGCAAATAAACAGGCTTGGAACAGAACTCTGCTGAATGCTTGTTATACTGCCTGTGTTCTTGATTTAATGTGTTAAATTCGATCACAGATATTCATGAAGTGTTAAAGCCAGATCCTTCCATGATGAACTTCCATGTATTCCAAAGAAAAATGAAGATGTGAGCCATGGCATGGGTGGTATGTTCTTGCGGTGCAGGGATACCTGTGATGCATGCAACGGGCGGTCGCAAGAAGAAAGTTCGGGGTGGCTTGACAGCATTGGAATATATTGATATATATATATATATCATATATATCATATATATATATTGATAATAACTTGGAATCATAGACTGGAGGGCCATGCTCTCTTTTTGCCGAGAGATCTGTGGAGATAGAGCCGCTTCCTTGGAGAAGTTCTCGACCATGTACAATGTACACCCTGTTTGTATATCCCATCCATGGATATCCATGGTGCATTTGTCGCATTGGTCGCATTGGTCGCATTTGTAATGCGTCACTGAGGCCCACGGGGCCACAGCTGCATCTCATCATTAGCCTCGATGAAGGTACGCTCTGGAAATATTTGCCAGGATCGTTCAGCAGTGTTTCACCAGCCAGAACTTGAATCAAGTTCAGGGTTCATTCTTGTTTATTGCAAAAACCAATCATTTCAACATCTATCGGCTCTTGAATTAGCTTTAGTAATACTCCGTGAGAATCCACGACCTCACCACGGAGGCAGACGCTCATGACAGAGAATGTGCTGAAAACGACGCTGTGCGAGAATATGGTTTACCATGGCTTACAATGGCTTACAATGGCTTACAATGGCTTACCTTCAGGTTTTGGATGGTTTTAGACAAAACTTCCGGCAGCGCTGTCCTGGGAACTGATTAATTGGTTGAACCACTGATGAGAAGCATATGCCTCAATTTCTGAGGATAACAATTACACGTTGACGCGTTGCTTTTGAAAGAGAAACCACCGATCAACAGGAGGTTAGAGCAGTTGACAGAGGGTCCCCGTATTACATACAGAGGCTACTCGTAGTAGAGAGAGATTTTTGTGTTTTGGGTCAAGAGCATTCAAGAGCGCACTCTCAACAACAACCCCAAATCTCAAATAAACTTTGTGCCTGAGGAGCTGTTTGAATGGCCACAGTCTGCCAGTGGTCTGAGCTGCATTTCAGGGGTGCTTGATGCATTGGTCACGCATCGTCAGTTTTCGCCTAAAAGAAAGGAACACTGTTGACGTAAATCTATTCGAGTGTAGGAGTGGACATTTCCTGTCGGCCATCTAGAACCTACAAATGTCACAGCATCTTCTGGTATCATTCGTGGCTGGTTCAATCCAATCAGCCATGCGATTTCACAATGCATGCCCAAAATGTGACACAAGCATACACAAGCAACGTTTCTTTCCGCCTTGAATTCCGAAATGAACCTTCAAGACATTTGAAACCCAAAGGCAGTTCGGTGATGTATGCGCTATCTGCACTGAGGGCTGCCATGCAGAGCCAGTGGTGCACCGTTAGCACCGCCACCTTTGCCAACACCTCCAGTGCCGCGTGTGTGGGGCGCGCGAACAGCTCGCAGTGCACCTCATCCTATATCATCGGTGCCAGTCTCAGCTGGTCTGGACTTCCAAGCTCCGCTCATGGTCACAACAGATCACAACACTGGCAACAGAATGCAACAGATATGGGAACAGATATGGCAAAGGTGTTTCACACATCATTTATTTCAACTTCCGACACTTGGAATATTCAGCAGGGCTGCATGAACCCCTCAAAGCCAGCAGGTCGAAATTGTCGAAATCAGCTGTTTTTCTAACATCATCCCTCGCACAGCCCAAAACAATCCAAAACACCCTCAAACAAAAACTCTGTTGATCTCTGTTGTATGTTCATGATGGTTCATATTGGTTCATGCATTTCCTATTAAGTCTTAGTCCAAAGATGTCCAAAGCACTGCCCGCGCCCAGATGCGTGGACCATCGCCCTTGCGCATACTACGGGACATTCGCAGCAGCCGTTGAGCTGCGAGGACGGGGGGAATCGGTCGAAGGTTGGCTGCGGAGCAACAGAGTTGCAAATGTTGCAATAGAGATCAATAGAGTTACCAATGTTACCATGACTTAACCACGGTGAGGACCTCGCCGAACACCGAAGTGACCTGCACAAGGTTGGACCCGTACCCAGAGATCCCACTGAAGTCAGACCTTCATCCTTTGACTTCATGAGCCTATCCATGCCTATCCTGACATCTTGAGTTTATGGGATTTCTTTATCCATGGTTTCTATGGCTATGGAGGCTTGGAATCTAAAGCTGCATCCTTTGTTCACCGAGGTGGTAACATGCCATTTCTTCCCCAGGGCGCTGTGAGGCTCACAGAACAGCTGCTCGAGCATGCCTGGAACTGGAATAGGAATTTCCTGGAATAATTCTCCCACGACAAAAACCAAATTGTGAGCTGCACCTTGGAAGTTGATGAAATTTGATGAAGCATGGAATTGAAAATTGAAAATATTTGAAAATACTCCATCTTGAAATATCTAGACTCTGCAAAATGTCAGCAAAGTGTGCCCTTGTCTACTCGCCCTTAAACCTTTACCTGGCAGCTTTGAATTTGGACAGCGGAATTCAATGTGCTTGGGTTTGGGCCTTTGGTTCTGCAGAAAGAAGCAAATACCAGGCCAAGTCTTCCCAGATTTCAAGAGGTGTAGCATTGAAACAGCAGAAGATGTGGAGAGGTAAAGAATTGTAGAGATTTGTATGGACCTGGGCAAAGAAACGGAAATCGCTTTTTGAGATTGCCAAGAGGATCAAGAGGTCATGGATCACAGTTGTGTTTCGAGCCCTCCATTGCACCTCAACCTGGCATGCGTTTTAATTTTGCTGGGTACCTTGCAGAGCTCGTCAACCAATCTGTTCATGTCATTTCATATCTATTCTATTCTGTATGAGAAGTGAAATATGGCAAATTCAAATATGGTAAGAAGCAAAAAATGCCAATTCGCAGCCGTACCCCTAAAGCGGTTGCTTTCACCAACCGAGTGCTTGAATTGATTTTGCGAGGACACTGCCGAAGGCAAGGTCTTGAATGGCGGTCTTGTCAGTGATGAAGACATGCAACATGAGCTTCGTCCGTACAGATGCTGACGCAGAGGTTTGCCCTTCCTCTTGTATTCGAGAAATCCTCATTTGCTTGCAACTGCTGGAAAGCTGTGGGTCTCATTTTGAATATGAGAATGCTGTTGAAGGGTCTCAACTTGGCTTCTGTGCAAGCTATCACACCTGCGCCCTCATTTTCCTCATGTTCTGCAGCGGTTGCAGGATATTTGACAAGATGAGAGAGTGTCATAGAATATCATAGAATATCATGATCGACAGAGCAGGTTACGGTTGCTGCTCAACCTACGTAGGCTACATGGTCTTTGGTCTTTAGTAGAGCTCCAAAGCTGAGCTTCATCATCTACTGTACGCCATACCACGATATCCCTGCAATTGACCCCATGAGTCTGTCTTTCACACTTGCCCTGCCAACTTCCGTAAAAAGTCAACTTTTTTGAGTATATAACTAGTTCTGTTTCTTCCCACATTGCATTCCTTCGTCAATGCAAAGGCCTGTGATCTGACCTCACGAGGTAATTTACACAGCACCATACCTTTGAATAGATTCCCGCTTGCGACACCAGTTTTCCAGGATTCGATCTGTTTGCCTGGATGAATTGCTGGCAACGGATCTCATGCAAGTTGCTCTACTTCCATTTAAACCATCCTGGGTTGTACAAGCTTTGTTCAACCCCTTGTCATCCATTGACCACTAGCCATTAGCAACGCCAATGTTGCAGAGCGGAGACGTTGTTTTTGGCGTTGCTGACTATCGGGAATGGTGAGTGAGCTTGCTGGGGAGAGACCAGGGAACCACGTTCAGTCAGAAAGCTGAGGACTCATACACTTGTCCAAACAAGCAGCAATCTATGTGTTCCGGGTAAAGTTCCTTGTTTGTCATTCTAAGAAAATCCAAAACGTTTAATTATTAATATACGGGTATGTAATTGCATGTGGTAGGAGGAAGGGATCATGAAAGCAATGTCACAGTTTCAACTTAATGTAAAACCACAGTAGACATCTAGCTAGCCAATTGCCAACCTGTTGCGATTCCAGCTTAACCGCGCAATAAATACCGACAGTGAAAAACTATCAGTTGCAAACGGAGCTTTGGTCTCGACCCGGATCCAAGATTTCAGGAAGGGATTGGAGATATTTGGAGATCATTCAATGATGGGTTATTGATGTTGCCTAATGGCAGAGCTTTCGAGCCTTTCTGGGCAAGTCCATGCTCTCAGCCTCAACCAGGCTGGAAATAAGTATCACTTTGACCCTGAAAACGATGACGATGATTGTCTTCGATTGACATTGTGTAGCTGTTTCCACCACAAATGATTTGTGCCGCTTTAGCAGGGCAAAGGGTAGGCAGAGCAGGACTCACGGCCCAGCTCGTGAATTCAGGAATTGCATGGTTCCCCACGAGGCGTTTCTTATGAGCAGGGACTTCCCGACGATTTGGAGAACAAGCAGAACAAGCAGAACAAGAGGCATCTCGAAAGAAAGGGTCAAGAAGATCTCCATGTTGGGTGGTCCCAAAGCGTCCATGATCCCTAACTTTTTGTGGCATTGCGCTATCAAGAGTGAAGGAGTGCCAGTTACGTTGGGTTGATGCCAAAATGTGCAAGACAAACAGACTCGCCCAATGAGCGAAAAGAAAATGCAGCGTATGCTACAAGAAAGAGAGATGCAACCAAATGGTTGCAACATGTTGGGTCAACCGTAGGGGTTTGCCGAAGCAAACAAGGTTTCTGAGCTCGTGACCATTGGGTGGGGGGTGGGGGGGTGGGGGGGGAGTAATAACGTTCAGGCAGCTTGCGTTCCATAGAACTCATTATCCAACATTGGAATAGCTGTCCGTGGGGTGTGGGGGGGTGGGGGGGGTTGGGGGGGTGGGGTGAAGAGGGGCCCTAGCGTCTACTTCAAGATCAGCTAAGGCGTCTTCCCCAATGACAGCACTATTTTTTACTCTCAGCCTGTTGCCGGTCAGTGCTTGTCCACAGGGTTACTCTATATACCTCTTGAGCCTTGAAGGGCGCATATAAATGTGCTCAATACTCATGCATGTACCTCTGTAGGTATTAGCTCGAAACAAAAACATGGGGGGGGGAATTCGAACAATAGCACCAAACATTCGAACAATTCATCGAAACTCAACATGGCTCCGAAGGAAATCTAATTATGCTGTTCCAATAAAACACACAACTTTATTTCTCTTTCCAACAAATCACAAGTTCAAAAATCCTGCTAATTTTTCCGCGGGATCCCGCGAAAAAATCTTGTTCGCAAAACATGAACCTGGTTCAAACAATCATCCCTTATCATGCAAACATCTTGCAAATGCTAATGTGAAACCAATGAAAAACACTGAAAATACCATGAAATTTCCTCCTACTAAACGGCTGCGGATGGACATACATGATCTTAACATATGTTACCCTTCTTGCAAACTCATTCCGACTCACGGCAAACCCCCCCGGCAAACCCAACATGTTGCAACATGAATAGAAATGAAAAGCATGCTTTCCAGTTTTCCACTGTGTTTAGTGAGTTTAGTGATGATTGACATTGAATATGTATTGAATTTCAATTGTATCGGACCAAATGTCGCCATGTTCCTTTCGGCTTTCCAGCGTGTTCTCCGATGGTTTGAGCCGATGATGGCTATGAGTGTCAGAATGGCCGGGTGCCTTAGACGTGCCCAGGAAATGGCCATTTTTGCCCATAGGAAGGTCCGACTTTCAAAGCATATTATCAAGTTTTGGTGGTAGCCCCCCAAGTACAGATATGTAATCAACAGAATTTGGCCGGGGTTTGACACTATCGACATAACATGACATGCATTGGCCGCGGTGAGAGCCTTTGAGTGCCAGTTACAACAAGTATATTGAAAAAATACAGCAGAAATATGCGAACATCCTTGCCTTCAATTCAATCATTTCTCACAGCTGTGGAGAATTTTTCTTGCAGTCCTAGGCTGATTCAAGCCACGGCTGACGGGCCGCATGCCCGCAGGATCCACAGGCGAGGGATGGACAACAAAACATAACAAAACACTGCGAAAACTGGTGAAACCATGTGAAACCTCTTCCAACTTCCAACAGCATCATGAGTGGAACTGTGAAAACCGACCTGACCAGGCAGCTTTCCCAGGAGCTCGGATAGCCGCACCACCGCGAAGTTTGGAGCTCAAGATGAGTGGGGGAGAGTTTGTGATGGGCTACGATGCATGGAATCGATGGAGCATGGGATTTGCGGGTTTGCAATGCTTGGGGTCTAGGGCATGACATGCATGACATTGCATGACACCTGCAAAGTTGAGCAAAATTGATTAGTATCATCAAATTTGATCAGGCCCTAGAGCCACGCTGCAGGCTTGCTTCTCCCTACCCTGTCCAGCCACTAAGGCATGCTTTCAAGCCTCCTGAGAATGGTGGCACGTGGGCAGCCAAGCAATAGGGTAAGGAAACATTGCGACTACCACATTGCCAACATCGGTGCAACATCACCGATGTTACCACTGTAAACAAGCCGCGTACTGAAGAAGAAAGAATCAAGTCAAGTGGTTTCCCTTACACCAACACTTTTTTCACTGATGTAGAACTGGTATGCTATCTTACCGTCTTCAGTCCACTGCTGTTGCTGTCCTTTGGAAGATGTTTCGGGTCACTCCACACATCACCGCACACAGGGTTTCCCAGTCCCGAGCAGAGCGATGGCAGCAACTTTGACTGCAGCGAGATGTGGATGTCAAATGCTGTTAGCATATCTTGACAAGCATCTTGATCATCTTGATAAGCATCCTTTCAGTACCTTTCAGTACCTTTCAGCTCTGCATGAAACTGCAACCTCCTTTACCACAGCTTCGTTGGTGGAGTCTTTGTATATGAGTCCATATAGTCCATTTGTTTGAGGGCGCTTCTGTCCAAACAAATTTCTGCATGTTTCTGTTATCAAGAACTATAGAAATGCTAATGTGCATGAATATCTTAATCCCATTGACATCTTCCATTCGCGTATTCTGCAAATAGCTTGCCGTTTTGCTCGTGGGGCTGCAAGGAAGGCCACTGGTTCAACCCAATCGAGATCGCCATCTCCATCACCCAAGAAAAGCCCCAGCCCCAAGCCAAGCGCTCGTGGGAAGCTCAGAGTGGACACAACTTTGCAGAGCGAAAAGGAAAAAACCCAGGGATTCCATCATCTCAGGAGCAGTAATGAATGAGTAATTGATTAATGAGTGATGAGTGAGTGATTATGATTGATCATAGTTTATGTTACTATATAATACTATGAATATAATATATTATATATATAATATATATATATACGTATATACATATATATATGTGTGTGTGTTACATGTTGTATGTTGTTTATTT